ATGTGTGATTGCAGCAGGAGAAAGAAAGATAAGGGCTTCTTCGGTGCTCTAGAATACCTTGCACCGAACAGGCTCTAAGGTATTTGCGGCTGGTGTAGTGCCAAAGTCAAAACTCGGAGTAGAGTGCGACTTTCACATTCCCATTACGCAGTGAAACCGTGGCATATAGATTCCTACAGGAGAGGTGGACGTTGCTTTGTTTCAGATTTGTGAAATAAGAGATCTGGTCAGAGGATTTTAGGAGCGAGATAGCCGGATCAGAATGGTGTAGACATGGATGTAGGGGTGGCTGTAGGGCAGTTGAAATTTGCGATAGTGGCTGTGGAGCGCTCGAGCAGGCGCTGTTGTTGTTGCCTACTTGTTGCCTAAACTGGTAATCCGACGAATCGTTCGAGCACGCTTTCCGGGGTCTTTGTCACTCAATACATTTCACCAATCAAATAAATATGTCCATCGCCTGTTATTTTCCTCACCTTTCTCATATTTCCTTTCCCTCATCGTACGACTCCTCGTCGTTTTCTTTAATTTTTTTTCCCGACACATATAGACAAAACGTTATTTGCTAGCTCTGTCAGTTGGCGCCACCTTGTACTTCTCTTGACCCGCCCGAACAGCTCGTAATACTGTCCTCAGACACCCTGGCCCTGACGCATACATCCACAGTCTGCCCACAATGAGGGCCTTAATTCGCCCAATTTCAACCCATGCCGCATCTTCGCCCATAGAGACAATCGTCTTCTTTTTCGTTCTCGCCACGCTCGCATATTTCCATGTTCTCTCCGCTATTAAGCATTCTTCTTTCTTCGCCCCAACATCGCTCCCACCCCTACGCCCGTCTCATGCGCTCTGGCACAATGGTGACTGGGCCACCGTTCAGGAAAGTGAATGGTACAGCGCCCAACGCTCACACGTCACAGCCGTCGACCTTCAGCAATTGGTTATGTCTTTCGATGCTAGGACGGCGAAGAAGGTATACCTCAGTCCCTCATATTTAATTCACGCGCATTAATACCCTCATTCAGATCTCCGAGAACCCGAGGCTCTCCTCGCAGGTTGCGAGCTCCTTGGAGAATATAACTCACTTCCTTACCCATCGTTTCCCTGTAGCCTCTGGGAAGCTATACCCGAATATTTGTTACTCTGTCTCAAGAGATCAGGATGAAGAACCAACTTGTTTCACGTCTACTTATTCGGACATCCCAAGATCCGACTCACTCACTCTCTCATTCGCCGCCAGCAGTCGTAAGGACTTCATTAATGCTCTTGCAAAGCAAGGCACTCTCATTTCGGACGACTTTGGCCCAATCAAATATCTCGTTGAGAATCCAGAGCATGAGACCGTCTCGGAGATGAAGAGCGGCAAGTGGGTCGTGTATGCAGCGCGCACTTTAGTAGTCCGCTTTTGGGACCTCGCCAAGGTAACTGCAAGTCTATAGTGTATTGTACAGACTGGTCTAACAGTGGCCTACTTCGTCAGAAAGCGGATAATCTAGACATCCTGCTCGTTCTTGCCGGCTATGTACTAATGCATACGACTTTTATTCGCCTTTTCTTGTCTTCTCGCAGTCTTGGCTCTAACTTTTGGTTGACGACTGCAATCCTGTCGTCCTCAACTCTGTCCTTCATGGTTGCCTTACCCGTTGCTAACTACCTGCGCATCCCTCTTGATCCTGTCAGCCTGATTGAAGCTCTGCCCTTCCTGGTCTGCACCGTCGGATTTGAGAAGCCCCTTCGCCTTGCTCGCACCGTGTTCAGTCATCCTCATCTCGTGCAACCCGCTATTCAAGAAGGGCGTCTCCGTGGTCAGATGAAGCCAGCCCCGGAACTCATCATGGAGGCGCTCGACAAGGTCGGCAACATTATCGTTCGGGACTATATTCTTGAGATCGCTGTACTTCTCATCGGTGCATATAGCAAGGTCGGCGGGCTCAAAGAGTTTTGTGCTCTCGCTGCTCTGTTGCTGACAGTGGACTGCGCGGCAACGGCCACGTTCTATGTCGCTATTCTTAGCGTGATGATTGAGGTACGTTTCAACTCGTTTTGGAGTCACGTGTAACCTGGTTTTTGGGGGACGTGTTTTCTTGTCTTGTCTTGTCTTGTCTTGTCTTATCTCCGATCTTGTGCTTGTGATTGACAATAATGCGCTGCAGGTGCGCCGCGTCAAGATGTTCCGTGTCCTGTCATCGCGACGGTCCTCCATGTCAGACGTAAAGCCCCCAGTTATTGTGAACGGCCAACTGCAATTGCCAAAACTCAGCTTACGTCAGCGAAGCTCGGCTGCATTGTTGGGTGTAAAGGGCTCTCTGCTCAAGTCGCAATCCAAGGAGAAAGACGGAAAGGAAGAGAATCCTGTGGCTCGCCTGAAATTGCTGCTGGTGCGCGAGTTTCCACCGAACACGGTCCCGAGTTAACCGATTCGTATAGATCGTCTCATTCCTCTCTCTCCACTTGTTGAATCTTTGTGCCCCATTCACTCCTGGTGCGGCAGTGGCTCGTCTCCGGCAGGATCAAAGCGCTCTACTCATAAAGGACGTCGTACCCGGCTTCCGCACTGTGGACATCGCCAGCCCTTCCGTTCAACATTCCCTCTCTCGCCTCGCCGAGCTTCACGATGGATCGGAGTTAATTGTTCGCATTTCTGCGCCGGTTCACGTGCGCATGGTTCCCATTATCTCGCCTCATCTCCACAAGGATTCCAAGACCAAGGGCCGCGATGCTGACGACATGATCGATAACTTTATGTCCTCTTGGACTCAGCTCGTCGGCGATCCCATCTTGTCTAAATGGATTGTTCTACTCCTTGGCGTCAGTGTTGCGCTTAACGGTTACCTACTCAAAGGTATTTCCACTGGTACTGGTTCAACTCGCATTGTCCAACAGGCGCTTGGCGTCCGGTTCAACACAGACCGAGTTCAGGAGAAACAACCCGCGGTTTCCTCTGTCCCCATTCCTGTCTCGATTATCCCAGAGACTCGAAAGGAAAACGTTGTAGTATATTCCTCAGCGCCTGCGATCGTTCGACCTGTTCCTATTCCTGCTGTTCGGAGACCCCCTTCCGTCAATGGAATCTCGTCGCTGCTGGACTCGGTGGATCAGAGACTTAAGGCACAACAGACTACCTTTACAACGGGTGATGAATCGGATTCGCAGGACGAAGAGCCCGACAGAAAGGAGATTTCACCCCCCACACGTTCCCTTGAGGAATGCATCGACATCTTCGAGAATGGTCCTCGCCCGGTATCGGTATCACTCTCGTTGCTCAACGATGAGGAAGTCATCCTTTTGGCCCAGAATGGCAAAATCCAAGCGTATGCTCTTGAGAAAGTCTTAGGCGACTTGGAACGCGCTGTTCTGATTCGAAGGGCGTTAATCTGTGCGTGCATTTGTACTCCGGCACGAGCCTTGTAACTGATTGTACCCTGCAGCCCGTTCGTCTAGGACCAAAACACTCGAGCACTCCGATATACCGATGTTACACTATGATTATTCTCGTGTCATGGGAGCCTGCTGTGAGAACGTCGTTGGCTACATCCCCCTTCCCCTCGGCATCGCGGGTCCTCTCAAGATTGACGGCGAAATGTTCCCAATTCCCATGGCGACAGCAGAGGGCACGCTCGTTGCTTCAGCATCTCGTGGTTGCAAGGCTCTTAATGCTGGAGGGGGAGTCGCTACTGTTGTCACCTACGATGGCATGACTCGTGGTCCCGCGATTGACTTCCCCTCTATTGCCGTCGCCGCTGCCGCCAAGGCGTGGATCGATTCTACTGAAGGCAGCTCGATACTCAAGGAAGCATTCGAAAGCACGTCACGCTTCGCTAAGCTGCAGAAGCTTAAGACTGCCATGGCCGGTCGCATGTTGTTTGTGCGATTCGCTACGACCACTGGCGATGCCATGGGCATGAACATGATTTCAAAAGGTACCGAAAAGGCCCTTGAAGTTATGAGCAAGTATTTCCCTGAAATGGTCGTCCTCGCTCTCTCTGGTAATTACTGTACGGACAAGAAGCCGGCGGCCATTAATTGGATCGAGGGGCGCGGCAAGAGTGTAGTCGCAGAAGCAATCATTCCGGGACATGTTGTTAAATCTGTATTGAAGACAACTCCAGAAGCGCTGTGCAATCTCAACACGAAGAAAAACCTGGTTGGTAGTGCCATGGCTGGCTCGATCGGTGGCTTCAATGCCCACGCCGCAAATATCTTGACCGCTGTGTTCCTCGCCTGTGGCCAAGATCCAGCGCAGAATGTGGAATCGTCCAATTGCATTACGTTGATAGAATTGTGAGTGCATTTACTCCTCTCAAGGACTGTGTACTGACGAAAACGGCTAGGACGAACGAGGGCAAAGACGCTCTTGTAACGGTCACAATGCCTTGCATAGAGGTTGGTACCGTTGGCGGAGGTACTGTCCTCGCTCCGCAGCAGGGCGTTTTGGAGATGCTAGGCGTCAAGGGCGCACATCCGACAGAACCTGGTCAGAACGCACAACAGCTGGCTCGTATCGTTGCCGCTGCGGTCATGGCAGGCGAGTTGTCCCTCCTCGCCGCACTCGCTGCTGGGCACCTCGTTCGCGCGCATCTTGTCCACAATCGGTCGCAAGTCCCTACACCTGCAGCGTCGCGGCCCATTTCCCCTGGCCCTCAAACACCACCAAGCGTACGTTGGGTGCCGGGCACGCCGGATTCCACGTCCGTGACCAAAGCGACAGTGGGGCCATTAACAACGTCCTCGTCTACAATGTCGCTAGCTGGTTACAGCCTGGATCCGAAACCTTGAGGGATGCAGTCCTAGATCCATTATCTTCTAGTTGTATGTTTTTGCATCGTTCTCGTACATTATTATCGCTATACCTAAGTTGCTATGCTTGTGGTAGTGTCTTGTCTTCATACACGCCGTTTTGCTTTCATCTATCACACACATCACAATCACGAATGCAGTTTGGCTGCTTGCACACAGCTGGAGCTGTCTTACATTATAGACTTTACGCGAGGTCCAACGCCATTGCCCGCCTAGCTCAATCGGATAGAGCGTCAGACTCTTAGGGCGGAAATCTGAAGGCTGCGAGTTCGACCCTCGCGGTGGGCTAAAATATGAAGCTTTTTTATTCTATGAAAAGCTTGATTTTATGAAATACACTAATTACTGTAACTGAGCGCCCAGTAATTGTACAACCCTTGTAACTAGACAACACGAATCTCAATGAATCGCAAAGTGCAAGGCCATCACTCACCAGTGCACCAGCCTCGGTACCAAGCTCATCACCTACCTCCCTTCTGGATACGACGCTGAACTCTGCCTAAAACCCAAGGCTTATCCCACCAATGACCTCGTCTCGAAGCGGCTCTCCGCTCTTTTATGCTCCTCCACCAGCTTGCATAATGCGCTCAGCGTGGTCCATTGGGGTTCATAGCCCAGACCGCCCCTTTCTGGTGAAGCCCGGGCGCGTGAGTCGTCCCAGATGAGGTGCGGCACAGTGAGGAAGAAAAGCGAAGGTTGAAGATTGACCATGTCCTTGGTGGGGGCTGGTACGAAACGTCCGAGCTGACGAATGACAGGGCTTGACGACGACATCATTAACGACCGCGCGACGTGCAGCCTCTCGAAGACGTGGGCAAGCATGAGCATGGTGGTGGTAGACAGTCGAGGGAAGACAGTCCGACCATCGGTGAGAGTGGTGAGGACGGTATACACGTCGCCGTAAGTGAAGGGTGGGCCGTCATCGACGACGCAGAACGCTTGCCCGCCGATGTCGGGATTGGGGGAGCCCTGCGCCTTGTCGATCAGACGCCGCTCGTAGCAGAGATGGGCGAGCGAGGCGTTCTCGACGTAGATGAAGTTATGAAGGACATCCTGCGCCCAGGACGGATTTACCCGCCGCACGAGATACGCGCCGCACATGATGTCCCCGCCAGGGCCATAGATCCCATTCCCCGGGCGCAGACACCCCGTGCGAAGGACTCGTAGTTGTTGGTCCCGCTCCCTCCCAGACCCCGAGGGGGCACCGTCGGTCGCCCGGACCAGCCGTTCGGCCTTGAGCTTGGACACAGCGTAGTTGGAAAACATCTCGTCGTGGCGTTTCGGCAGACGGCTATCGTCGTCGTCTTTGAAAGTCTGTACGATAAACTTGGGCCGCTGCTCCCACGGCCACAGCAAGAGCCGCGCGCGCCGGATGGACACAGAACCGCTCGAGGTATAGATGAGGACGCTCACGCCTGTGGTGCGCGCAGCTGCCAGGACGTTGCGCGTTCCTTCGACGTTGACCTTGTCGGAGAGATGCAGCAGCCTATCGTCGCGCTCGTAAAAGCGGATGTTGGCCGCTGTGTGGAAGACGGTGATCTCGGCTGCGGCTGCGGAAGAGTCCTTGGGTTCATCGTGGAGGCCGTCCTCGTCGTCGGACAATGACGGCCACGGGGCGTTGAAGGCCGTCTGGACCTGCTCCCCGTCGGACACATCAACCTGACAGAAATCAACGTTCTTGGCCAGGCCAGACGTCAGATCGGGACGCGTAGGAGCACGTATGTCGAGAACCCTGATCCGTTTGGGATGTTCACCGCGTTCGAGAAGATGTCGGACGATCCACCCGCCAAGAAAGCCTGCCTAAAGGTTGTTTTTGAGCATCACAGGCAGCGGGCAAGTAGTAAACCTTACCCCGCCGACGACAATATATCTTCTCCCTGTTCTCGGGGGGAGGAATGCTTTCGCACTCAGAGTTGTCGAGGCCATCTCCCAGGCCGCTGCTGCCTCCAGTGCGTCCTTTGCACTGATCCTTTTGGGAGAAAAAGCTGAAGCCACGTCATGAGGTAGCTGCATGAGCTTTGCATCGTTCAAACGAACGTACAAATACAGGAGAATCACAGGGAGAGACATAGGATGATAAGAATGAGACTCATTGTTGTTCTGTCCAGCAACGGGTTCACTAGAAGCGGGTTCAACAGTATTGCCGTACCACGTCGTAGGTGACGCCGGCGCACGAGCGCCACTGGCAACCGCTTATGTGCGAGAAAAGGGAACCAGATCCATAATATATTGGAAACGCCCACAATGGCACAAGCACATGTACAGATTGGGTCTACAGATATGCGCATGTATCGACCGCAGGAGCTCAAGCAGGAGGCGGTGGTGGTGGCGCTGGCTCACTGGGAGGAGGGGCAGGAGCGTCCGCTCCCAGACCACCAGCCCCCGCCGCAGAAGGATCAGTGCCAGGAGCGGTGTATCCCTGGACTGAGTAGTATTGGTTGTATTGTGCCATTTGGCTTGCTTGCCACTCTTTAAATTCGGGCGAGTTGACATCGTAGCCATAGGCAGCCCTGTACTACACGTCAGCGGACGTCGTTATTCGTTGAATGAAACCGCATACCAATATGCGGTGTACGCGTCCAAGTCGGTAGGCGCCGGTGCAGCAGCAGCAGCGCTAGCTCCGGCAGCACCTCCATCGCCGGGTGGAGGTGGTGGTTGTTCACCGGGTGGCGGTGGCGGTGGAGCTGCTGATGGGGGAGGCGGAGCATAGCCCTTGAGCGGGAGTAGGTGCGTCAGACACAGCGGAAGGCACATTTGACGATCCGTATGGATAAAAGATAACCCACAGGCATCACACCGTAAGAGGCGTACTGCATTTGCGCTTGGTGAAGCTCCATCTGTTGTTGGTGCATTATAGTCTTGACCTTCGCGTATTCTCCTCGGACAACCTCGAGGAGGTCATCAGTCAACACTTTTGCACGTGCAACTTGACCCTCTTCTGGACCGCTGGAAGAGACGTCAGAACTACCTGGGAACGTCACGGTGCAACACACGTTATATGGATATGCATGGGCTCATCGGACTCTTTCCCCGTTTCTTGATCAACGAAACCGGATCCTTGACCTTTGATCTGCACGCGAGTCCCTGTTTCTTGTTGGATATACTTGACGAACATGCCCTGCGGACGAGTGGGTGAGAAGTAGTCCCGCCAAAGCTACTAAGAACGTACAGTTGGGCCGACGACTTTGGCCCGCACGTTGAAATTGCGAATGGACTCCAGGCCAATGAAGATTTTTTCTTCAGGCCATTTACGCTGTGAAGGAGGTGAGCGTGCGTACCCTTCCGTCGTTTGAAAAGCAACCGCACCTTTTCGCGACGTCCCTTTTCCTCTACAAGAGAGCCCATGTCGATGGCGATGAGCTCATTGACTTTGTCAATGGCATTCTGTAGCATTTCTTGTGTATTCGCAGATATGTGGAGGTACAATGGGGGGTCTTTCTCTGTAGCCTTCGCACGGTCTGGGTACCATACGCCTTTAGTGCTGACAGAGGCACCCGTTTCTTCGTGAATCTAGAGAGGTTAAACTATTCGTAAAGGTGCCTGCAAAAGGAGGCGAGAGAAAGAAACGCACCTGTTGTTGGGTAGAACCCCTGGTCAACATATACCGGTTTCTTACATCGTTGATGTCGATGTCTTGGGTGAACTCTCCGTCGTGTATATCCTTGGGGCCGAGTAGTCCAGCCCCTCCCCCTGCAGTAGCGCCGCTGTATTGAGCAGCGATTTTGGCTGCAATGGCCGCGGCGGCAGCGGCAGCGGTGGAAGCGTTCTTGCCATCGTCAACTTTTGCAAGTTTTGCTGGAGAGTCGGGCTCGTCTTTTAACTCTTCGGGTGCGGCCTGGTCCCATTTTCGTTTGGAGGACATCGCAGCAGGATGAGCAAATCGTACTCGACGTGGAGGAGAGTGACCCAAAGAATGTATCCCAAGAATGTATTATATAATCCACTACAGGGTCCCATGTACGCAACACACAAGATGTAATCATACAAGCTGTACAAAATTAGCCGGAAACGACCCCTCCTTCCCCTCAAGCTTACCCTTCCACCTAAATGAACAGATATCAGTATCCCTCGACAGGCACGTCACGAATATCTCACCAAGTATCCGTAGTGTCACTCTTCTCTGTGATGGTAATGACCTGGCCCTTCAAAAAAGACAAATCTCCGGGCTCAACAGCGCGAAAATCGTATTGCGCAATCGCACGAGCGACACCCTCCCCCTGTGCAAGCGGCTGGCTCAGAATGCGATTGCGCTCTGCCTCGCGGTGACGTGCAGCGGCCTCTTCGACACTCCGAGTTCCTGGTCCGAACGGATTATCCTCATCCTCGAGCGTCGGTCCGAACGGGGTTGCGATGTCATAGCCATCGCTCTCGCGCTCTGCTTTCGAGTAAAATGGATTCGTGGTACTCGTGGTACTGCTCGAAGACCGGGCGTGTGTAGATTTCTGGACTGTGCGGGGACTGCCACTAGTGAAAAGATCGAGCGATTGACCGGGGATGTGCCGCCCATGTGGGCGTACAGGGGGAACAAAGTCGCTTTCAAAACGGGTCTCAAAAGGAGGCGGATCATCGATTCGGGGAGCTTGGTCGTAGTCCCATACCGAACCAGAAACAGCCTCCTCTGCAGGAGGGCCGAAATAGCTTCCTGTGTTCTTGGGTGTGCCCCAGGAATCGGGAGGGAAGCTGCCAGAGTTATGAGTCTTTCGCTGCTGTTTGCGTGACGATTGAGGTGCTTCGGCGTTGGAGCTCGAAATTCCACCGAACGCGTACTGCGAGTCGGACGTAGGTCGACCATCTTGCACCCATGAACGTCCACCAGGTGTGCCAGTACGTGCCTCTAGCGTGTGGATAAGGGACTGTGCCCACTCCGGAGGTGTGATGCTACCACTAAGAATTTGCTTAGCGCTGACGTCAGAGCGGTATGCTTGGGCATTCGCGTCCTGTCGCTCGACTATCACGGAGCCTTCCACAGAGACGCCACCAAAGAGGCCGCGAGTTTTCGAGTAACTGTACCTGAAATGACGTCAGTACAAGAATCCAGAAGGGTAGTGACAGTAGGGTACGAACATTGCAGCAACCTTGCCGCTTGTGCTGAGAGCGGTCGAGGCCTCTCCATTACGGCCCAAAGGACCGACAGCCAGACTCATATTACCACCGAGAGTCAGTGAACCCGCAGCCATGAACGACCTCTGGTAAACACGAGATATGGCAGGACACGTTAGCACACTGGACGTCATCAACAAGCTGTATATCACTTACAACAGCCTTTGAAAGGGAGGTAGATCCAAACA